ACAATATACACAAGATAATCCATTTAACCCGGTGGCACTACACGTCATATGATGTGAATAAATGTACAATAAGATCTGGGGTCATTAAACTGGTCCTAAATCAAGTACACCTCCACCCAACATTTCAGAGCAACATGGAAAGCTCTACAGTCAGCCTGCGTTGGAGGTGCAAGTAAATCTGTATAATATTAGAAACAAAAGATACCTTGAAGTAAACTGAAAGCAGCGAGCCAATCTCCCATGTAAAAGATGCACTCATATGACACAGGAAGTCCTGTAATCTCCAAAATTAGATTAATTCCATACAAAAAATATAGAACACCATTAATTCCCCGTGGGTTATTAGATATTTGAGACGTCTCAAAGACATGATAAGGTGCTACATCAAATACAAAGATTATTAGATATACTGTAATTCCTGCAATAACTCACATTTTAAATTCCAAATGGTCTAAAGGACTATTTCATCTACACTATAAACAATCTCCCAAACTATGAAAGAAAAATTATAAATATATTACATTGTATAACCCAAAATCTTCTAATTTCATCTGTACTCCACTGACAGCAACAGCACTGATAGAGGAATCCCCTGCCTCCCAGGGTCAGACAGATCCAGATCATCTCCTGATCATTCTGCTCCTCATAAAAGGGAAAAGAAATTGCTGCTGTAAACAAGATTCCTTCCCATCCTTAACTGCACTAGAAGAGCTGACTAAGGCATCTAGAAGAGAATGGTCATCGCTACACATTTAAAAAGCAATGAACAAAATTGTCTAAAACTTAAGGCAAACAATCAGGAAAAATCAAAAAAGTACCTTTGAAGCTTAAAATACTGCATAAGCCCTCGAGAGATATTTGCGATGATCAGAACCCCTTTAAAATTGTAAAAAATAGGACTTCTGAAGTAGATATTCTTCATCAGTGATCCTAAACTCTACCCCGTATGAAACGGCGCTATATAAATGCAGATAGATAATACAGGAGTCTGCCAGTCTTTTGGCGATCATGAGCATCACAATCACACATAAACATATCTAAATATGACCTTTCCAGTCAATGTAATATTTTGCCAGACCATTGCTAATACTCCTCTTCCCCATGGACATTCCATACTATCACCTAACTCAATAAAACCAATGTGCCACAGAGAGCCATGAAACAAGTGACCAAATTTATTTGGGGGAATGTTGGCCAGGACACTGGGAGAGAGAGGATCTTTATCGTCCTGAGCTGTAGTACATTTAATGGTAGTTAAACTACTTTTATCTTGTCATAGGGTAAGTGCTATGACATCAGAGTTACTGTGACCTGGAGAAAAACGATAACAGTATCCATTCAGGACTGAACTGCAAACCTAATAAATCTAACTCATCCTCGGTACCCTCAAATAATAATAGAGCAACAAAAATAGGAGTCAACCTCTGTTTTCCCAAACACAACAAAAAATTTCCGCAAACATTTGAGGCAACAAACTGTCACCTAATCCTTAACGCCAAACAATATTCCTTAATGTAGGTAGATTTAATTCAGTGAGAGGTTTACATTTTATGAAGAGAGAGGCCACATGTAAATAACCTTCAACATTAATAATAATAATCCTCACATTTGATATAGCTTTATATATATATTTATATAGTTGATATTTACTTCAACACTTTCCTCATGGCCAGTAAATGAACTATCCGCTGGTTCACTGCCCAGCTCATAGTATCAGGGCAGAGAGAAAACGACCTTTTGTTTTGCTATCAAAATCATTACAACAGACAGGAGTCAACTCCCCTCCCACACCAGTACTCAGAACGACAAGAGAGAGAAAGAACTCACATACACACTCTCTCCCTCCACCCACCCACATGCATTTCCCTTCTCAACACACAAATCCAGAGATGATGCACCCCACCCACCAAAGCCTGCGCGCGCGCGCGTACACACATACATATAAACACATACCTGCAGTTACAAAACATACATATGAACACATACCTACATACACACATACATATAAACACATACCTACACACTTACACACATACACATACAAACACATACCTACACACATATACATATAAACACATACCTACACACATATACATACATATAAGCACATACCTACATACTTACACACATACATATAAACACATACCTACATACTTACGCACATACATATAAACACATACCTACATACTTACGCACATACATATAAACACATACCTACATACTTACGCACATACATATAAACACATACCTACATACTTACACACACATACATACATAATCACATACCTACATACTTACACACATACATATAAACACATACCTACATACTTACACACACATACATATAAACACATACCTACATACTTACACACACATACATATAAACACATACTTACGCACATACATATAAACACATACCTACATACTTACACGCATACATATAAACACATACCTACATACTTACACACATACATAATCACATGCCTACATACTTACACACAAATACATACATATTCACATACCTACATACTTACGCACATACATATAAACACATACCTACATACTTACGCACATACATATAAACACATACCTACATACTTACGCACATACATATAAACACATACCTACATACTTACGCACATACATAATCACATGCCTACATACTTACACACACATACATACATAATCACATACCTACATACTTACACACATACATATAAACACATACCTACATACTTACGCACATACATAATCACATGCCTACATACTTACACACACATACATACATAATCACATACCTACATACTTACACACATACATATAAACACATACCTACATACTTACTCACACATACATATATTCACATACCTACATACTTACACACACATATATACATAATCACATACCTACATACTTACACACACATATAATAAATAATAAATACATACCTACATACCTACACATATACACCCCTACATGCATAGCCATCACTTGCATCCACATCCCAGTCTCACAGATGCACTCCCCCGCCCCCAAATTCCCCATCCCCACACATAAACTCCCCCACCACACACACCACCCCACTCCCAATTCTCCCCATCACACTCATACATACTCCCCACACACTCTCTCTTACCCCCCCACACATACACTCCCCACACACTCTCTCCCCCCTCATACACATACACCCCCCATAAGAGTCGCATGAAGTTGAAAGTTTATTTGTGTGTGCATGTAGAGGAGGGGTGGTGGGTAGTGTGTGTCTGGGGGGGGTGAGGGTCTGTCTCTGTATAGGGGAGGGGGGAGTGTGTGTCTGAGTATGGGGGTGGGGGGAATGTGTGTCTGTGTGCATAGGGGAGGGGGTGAGGAGGGGGGAGTGTGTGTCTGTGTGTGTATGGGGGAGGGGGTGAGGAGGGTGTGTGTGTGTCTATGGGGGAAGGGGTGAGGAGGGGGGTGTCTGTGTGTGTATGGGGGAGGGGGTGAGGAGGGGGGAGTGTGTGTCTGTGTGTGTATGGGGGGAGGGTGTGTATGGGGAGAGGGGGGAGTGTGTGTATGGGGGTGCGGGGGAGTGTGTGTATGGGGGTGGGGGGTGTGTGTGTATGGGGGTGGGGGAGTGTGTGTATGGGGGGAGTGTGTGTATGGGGGAGGGGGAGTGTGTGTATGGGGAAGGGGGGAGTGTGTGTATGGGGTGGGGGGTGTGTGTGTATGGGGGTGGGGGGAGTGTGTGTATGGGGGTGGGGGAGTGTGTGTATGGGGGGAGGGGGAGTGTGTGTGTGGGGGGGGGGAGTGTGTGTATGGGGGGAGTGTGTGTATGGGGGTGGGGGGTGTGTGTGTATGGGGGTGGGGCGAGTGTGTGTATGGGGGTGGGGGGAGTGTGTGTATGGGGGGAGGGGGAGTGTGTGTGTGGGGGAGGGGGGAGTGTGTGTATGGGGGGAGTGTGTGTTTGGGGGTGGGGGTGTGTGTGTATGGGGAGGGGGGAGTGTGTGTGTGGGGGGGGGGAGTGTGTGTATGGGGGGGAGTGTGTGTATGGGGGTGGGGGGGAGTGTGTGTATGGGGGTGGGGGGGTGTGTGTATGGGGGTGGGGGGAGTGTGTGTATGGGGGTGGGGGGAGTGTGTGTATGGGGGGAGGGGGAGTGTGTGTGGGGGGGAGGGGGAGTGTGTGTATGGGGGAGTGTGTGTATGGGGGTGGGGGGTGTGTGTGTATGGGGAGGGGGAGTGTGTGTATGGGGGGAGGGGGGAGTGTGTGTATGGGGGGAGGGGGAGTGTGTGTATGGGGGGGTGTGTGTATGGGGGGGGAGTGTGTGTATGGGGGAGGGGGGGAGTGTGTGTATGGGGGGAGTGTGTGTTTGGGGGTGGGGGTGTGTGTGTATGGGGAGGGGGTGTGTGTGTATGGGGGGAGGGGGGAGTGTGTGTATGGGGGGGGGTGTGTATGGGGGGGAGGGTGTGTATGGGGGGAGGGGGGAGTGTGTGTATGGGGGGGGGGTGTATGGGGGGGGAGGGTGTGTATGGGGGGAGGGGGGAGTGTGTGTATGGGGGGGAGGGTGTGTATGGGGGGAGGGGGAGTGTGTGTATGGGGGGGGAGTGTGTGTATGGGGGGAGTGTGTGTATGGGGGGAGGGGGGAGTGTGTGTATGGGGGGAGGGGGGAGTGTGTGTTTGGGGGGAGGGGGGAGTGTGTGTATGGGGGGGGGTGTGTATGGGGGGGGGGTGTGTATGGGGGGGGAGGGTGTGTATGGGGGGAGGGGGGAGTGTGTGTATGGGGGGGTGAGAGAGAATGCGTGTGTAGGAGAGGGAGGGGCGTGGGTGAGTGTGTGGAGGGGAGGGGAGGGGAGGCCTGCGGGGCTGCCGCAGCCTCAAGAGGAAACACGCAGGGGCCTGTGCCAGGCGCACTCCCTGCCCAGGCCCAGGCCCAGGCCAGGCCCCCCGCTCAGGGAAGGCCGAGTCCCCCCACTCTCTCTCTCCCCCCCCACCACCCCTCCCCTCTCTCCCTCACCGCACTCACACTCTCTGGCCGCTCGCTCGCTCGCTCCGCTGCGCACCTTTTCACTCTCCGCCCCCTCCGGCGCCTCACGGGTTAACGGGAGCCTGGCATCCGGCGCCCCCAACTGGAAATGGCGTCTCCGCGCCTGCGCACTTCCAACCCCGTGGCACCGCAGGATCCAGGCGGTGCCGTCAGCCACGTTGCGCATGCGCTTTTGCCAGCCTGTGACTATTTGAAGTCGGGTGCCGCCATCTTTGATGCTGGCAAAAGTGGGCTTTAAATGCCACTGCAATGGATGGGTGGGCAGCAGTGTGTGATGCTGCTGCGGTACAATACAATTTGCATTTATATGGCAACTCCAAGGGTGCAAGCTTCGCTGGCTTCAGGTTACGTTAGAGCCTGTCACTCTCAACTTCTTCTTCTGCCAATTTACCAGTACTTGTATAAGAGGAATAAAAAAAAATTGCCCTGTGTTTTGCAGGCTTACACTTTCATATCTTGATATCCAGGCAAAAAATGACATCATACAATACGTCTTTGTTCATCTCATTTTTTTAATAAAAAAACAACTTGTGAATAGCGACACAATATTAGTAACTGACCAACCTGTTTCGCATGTAAGGGGAGCAATCGTGTTGAATTTGTTCAATCATCGGGGGCCACACTTTCAGCCACCACGCCTTGAAACTCTGGAAGGCTCTTCTGCTATCCCTCCGCCTTGCCCCTTCTTTCCCCATCTTCCTCTTTGACCATGCCTATGGTCACCCCTCCCCCCCCAGTTCGGTGTCATGCTCCGCCATTGTCAAGCGCTCAGGACGCTACCCTGTGTGAGAAGCGCTGTCCCAATAATCCTTCAGATAAAATTTGTCATTAAATTTGTGGCTATTTGTGGGATATTGCAGTGTGCACATTGGCTGCTGTCTTTGCCTCCAAAATGTACTGTCACTACACTTTACAGGAAAAACACAGTGTAGCAGTTTGAGACTTTTTGTCAACGTGATAAGGTGCTATATCAAACGGATATTATTATCTCTAACCACCTCTTTCCATTTGCCCTGCTTGTGAGCTAATGCTTCATTAAATTGAAGGAAAACAATCAACATTACTAATAACAAACATTTAAGTGCAAAATCATTGTTGTGAAAGTATATTTTTTCTATTCTATTTATGATATATTTGTATTTTATGCTGTGAGACTTTTTTACTTTGCCTTGCCACATAAATACATGTGGCCATGTGGCACCACACTACTGGAAGAAGGAATCACATTTCAAATAGAAATGTGCAACCCAATAGATCAGAACCATTGTATAATGTCTGGGCATCAGGACATAAAGTGGTTATGGTTGTCTCAGTGCATTGAGAAGGCAATCTATGATTATCCTGTTTGGAGTTACATAAGAATATAAGAATTGCTATACAAAAGAAGACCAAGGTCCATCCAGTTCCCCTTCCACCAACCATCCTGGCTGTCATATGCACAAGTCATGTCCCAAACTATATACTGTATCCCACAATATTATTTACTGAAAGAAATCCACTACGAGCATAAGAGGTTGCATCAATATGCCTTGAAGACTTGCCACTCATCCCTTCAGTTTAGTGGCCAAAGAGCCTGTCTACCATGTTACAGACTTTATACCGTAATGTGTTTTTTTTGGTACATGTTCATTAACCTAGCTGAGTTCAGCATCAAAGGGTAACCTTCACTTAGCAATGATCTTTATCTCTCTCGCTCTCTGGTTTCATACAGTCTGGCCGTAGGAACTGCTTGGACTCTCATGTCCGGTACAACTGCAGACAAAGTTGGGGACAAATGCTACCAACTGCTAGATCCACGAGTCATAGAGTTTTCCATTGCAAACTCCAAGTTGCATGACCACCACTGCATAATGTTGCCAGCACAATCTGAATCTCAGAGATGGAAAATTGGATAGCATCCAATGCAAACATCCTGAAATTGAAGACTGGTATTGCACATATTCTGATGGCTGCTGTAGCAAACATGCCTTGAAGACTTGCCACTCATCCCTTCAGTCAACTAGTCTGCCATACAACTGAGCTTTACAAAAACAACAACAGCAAATTACATTTGTACAGCGCCTTTCAAGTCAGGAGGACGTCCAGAGGCCCTGGACAGTCAGGGATCCCAACCTGAGCTGGTGGTTGGGATCAGGAGGGGTGGAGGGAAGGTGACCAAAGGCATGGTCGAAGAGGAAGGTCTTGAGATGGGTTTTGAAGGAGACAAGGGAGGGGGCGAGGCGGAGGGACTGTGGAACGGAGTTCCAGAGGGTGAGGGCAGAGAGGCTATAGGACGCCCACCAATGGCAAGGTGGGCACTCTTTGTAACTGAGCACAGGTCTGTGTAATTCACCTTCCTGCAGTTTCCTTTGGATCGTTTGACCGAGGTAGAGATTCCACCCGGGTCTAGACTTACTCTGTTAACAAAGCATTTGCGATTGTGCAGAATATGACAAATTGTTGAATTCAGTTTTTAACTCCAAAGCCATTTTCTGTAGTGCTTAAAAAAATAAACTTGCAGAAAACTGGCTTTGAGTTTAAAGAAAGTGATGATGAATTTGACAAACTCTGTACATTGTAACAGTAAACATAGACATTATCTGGTGAAACTATCCTTAGATTACTTTCGGTAACCTTTCTAGTGCACTGAAAAGTGACGTCTGGGCAACTAACTAATTGGATCACCAAACTCAGCACTGCTAGAAGTTATTTAGTGGAGCAGATACCCTTGCTGGCAAGAACAGTGTGAGAGACAGAGCTAAACAGACTGCGATCTGATCAGCAACTAGTCAGAGCCAAACACAATCCAGTCCAATACTATGAGAGACAGAGCTAAATACAGTGTGGTGCAACCATGGAAGCCAAACAAAGTGTAGCTTACTCATAAGAGGGAAGAATGAACTAATCACAGTGAATTCCAACCACATGAGGGACACAACTCAGTATCCTTCAATACAATATAACCGTGAGTGGGCAGAGATACAATTGTGGCTCTGTCAAATAGTTTGAGAGATAGAGAGAAAGGCACTTCAACTAAGTATGTAAGAGATTGTGCTAAACACTCTGAGGCACAATTGTGATGTTTCTTAAGAGAGGTGACGTACAATTTAACCTTAATATGTTCCTACTGTGTGAAAGAGATATGTGGATAGAAATTCTACCTGGGTCTAGACTTACTCCATAAATTGTTTTGAAGGGTAATAATCCCTTCAAAAAAAATTAGGGTTAGTCGAAATCAGCTGAAAGTAGCCAACAGTTATCACAATCCACTGATAACTATTGATTGCTTTTAACCAGATTTTTCTTTTTAAAATAATAATTTGGTCACTCAATCCACGACTGTTTGTGGGACACTGCCTGGCGTTATTGGCTGCCGCGTTTTGCCCACAAAATATACAATCAATACACTTTACAGTATATTCTGTGAAGTGCTTTGAAATGACTCAAGTACGTGATGAGGCGCTAAATCAAATGCAAGGATTATTATTATTAAACATAGCAGAGTGCAGAATTTGGCAAATTGTTGAATTCGGTTTTAAATTTGAAGCAAATGAAAACAAATGAAAAATGACAGATTTATTAATTAAAATAAATTTATAGAAAAACAGCTTCAAAATGAAAGACTATAATAATCCTTGCATTTTTGCTGTAGCGCCTTATTACGTCGTTAAGATGTCTCAAAGCACTTCACAGAACATGTCGTAAAGTTGATTATTGACTGTGTATTTTGTGGAAGAAACCTGGCAGCCAATTGCACAGCAGTGTCCCACAAACAGTTGTGAATGAGTGACTAAATTTTTTTTAGGTAAACAGCTAGGTAAACAGAGGAGCGTGAAGTAAGGAAACTTGCCTAAGATTTCGCCCTGCCAGGAATCGAACCCAGTTCCTTTCTTTTGCAAGGTGAGCGGGTTAACTCGTGGAGTCCTGTAGCTCAGTGGTTAGAGCACTCACTTTGCAAGCGAGAGACCTGAGTTCAATTCCAGGCAGAGGGCGAAACCTTGGGCAAGTTTCCTTACTCCACACAGAGCCTAATAATAATCCCTCCAAAACCAAAAACAATAATAAATTGGTCATTTTCAATCTACGACTGTTTGTGGGACATTGCTGTGCGCAATTGGCTGCCGCGTTCGCCCACAAATATACAGTCAATTCACTTTACAGTGTGTTCTGTGAAGCGCTTTGGGATGTCCTCCCGACGTGAAAAGTGCTATATCAAATGCAAGGATTATTATTATTATTATTAGCCAGCCTCAGGCAATCTCAACATGTCTGTAACCTGAAGAGTAACACGAGAGATGCAGTTAACACATGCAATGTACATATGGACGTTTTAGTCTTGTATTGTCACTAAGTCTGACATTCAGAGAGATTACAAAGAATAGAGCAGGGAACAGCCTTGTCACACAGGACTAGTGAGAAGCAATCATTTCAGGCTGGGGTTGAAGTCTTGTCAGGATGTCAGTTGTGAGATAAGCTACACTGAAACTGGTAATGATATTGTGAGCCTATCTGTGAGACCTTGTTACGAAGTAGAAAGCGAAAAAGCCCACCCCTTGCGTTTAACATTGTCATCCTGTACCTCGGGGGGATTTATTGCATTCTGGCACAATACAGACTACCAAGCAGCAGGCTCCTCCTAGGGTTTCAGATACATTCCCAGAGCATTGGCTGTAAAAGTGTTGGAGATTAGCTGGCTGTTACTGTCTGCCGCAGTCACACAGTATTTACTTCCCCATTCTCTAGAACCTTTATACCCTCAAACACACTTGGGTGTTATCTCACACCATTTCCAATGCATTGTTTCATTAACTCAAGTAAAAGTCCCACAATTAGCAGGTGAACAACAACAACAAATTACATTTATACAGCACCTTTCACGTCGGGAGGACGTCTCAAGGTGCTGGACAAGTCAGGGATGTGGACCCAAGTAGTTCCTACAGCAATAACGATCCTTACATTTGACGCAGCAGTTTTCCACGTCATCTTAAAGTGTTTCACAGGACTTTACTGTAAAGTGTAGTGACTATATACTTTTTACGGCAAACGTCAGCAAAAATACACATCAGTGATACTCTGTTTAACTAAGCACTCGCATTGAATGAAGACATTTGGGAGGCATTATCGGCTTC